AGGTACGGTAGGTACGGTACGGTAGGTAGGTAGGTAGGTAGGTAGGTAGGTAGGTAGTAGAGGAGAGAGAGAGAGAGAGAGAGAGAGAGAGAGAGGAGAGAGAGAGAGAGAGGGATTTGGCAACAGAGGGAGAGATAGAGACTGGAATCGCCAGCTCGTGTACCAGTCGAGAGAGCCAGTGGTGATAGTAACACAAGCAGGTGTTTAGAGAGAGAGGGAGGGTATGGTCTTATTCGTGGTCCTTTGACAAACACAAGAGGACGCCATGGAGGAGGGGCAAAGACACGCAGAGGGCTCAGACATGGCAACGGAGGGCTCGAGGAGGAGGCCAAATTCCGTAAAAAGGAAGGCTGCTGGTTCTGGTTCCTCAGGCCCTTCAAAACGTTCCGCAAAGGATCACAAGGCTCCTCTTGCAGCTCTCCACAATGGGCCGTGCACCAGGGCTCGTCAATCTCCCAATAAAATGCCGGTTCCATTGCCTAAGGCCTCCGAGTCTCTGCTAATTCCGCCCAAAAATGAGGTTGCGATGGTTGGAAAGGAGGGTTTACTGGTGATCGGAGAGGCAAAGGTAGAGGAGGAAGAGATGCCAGAATCTGAGTCACCGGTGGACATGGAATTTGAGGTCATTAGATCCAGGAATTTGAATGCTCATGTAGTGCCTACTCCTTCTGGTAAGCATGTTGCCTTTTGGATGCCCTAGATTTGAGTTTTTCAGGGAATGCGATGACACCCTAGATGATGTGCCTACTCCTTGTGGTTTTTGATCAATGTATTGATTAATGGTTAATTTTGTTATTGAATCTCCGTGGCACAGGGAGGGAGGGAGCACTTGCAACATCAACATTAAACATTTAGGACTTATTGTGTTATATTTATTTTATATCCTTCTTGATCTAGGGTTGTGTTTATATCAACTGTGAACATTTTTCGGGAACCGTGAATTGCTATTGATAAGTGTGTGTTGCTTGCTTTTTTCCTGTCTTCTTGTTATTTTGCTTGCAGACTCATATTTAGATTATAAAGGACAATTTACAGTTTTGCTCTTCAATTTTCCCCAGTTTTGGTGGTTCATATATTAGTAGTTGTACTGCTGTAGTTACTCTCTCCTCTCTACTTACAAAAGTTGTGCATATCTATAAGAAAGACCCTCATAGTCTAACTCTATTCCCTAGAAATGTAAACCGTATTTACTTATCTAAGATCACATAGGAATAAAATAACCCTAAGAAAGAAAACTAAATCATTCTCGTGGCGTTGGGAGAAGCTCATCCTTGTGCTTAAGGAGTTTGAAATTTTTCTTCATTTTCTTCATCACCTTCTTCCAACCATAAGTCTTCATCTTTTCCTGTTGCACTTTTGATTGTTGAACTTGACACCATGAAGTTTTGATATGCTAAGGAAGTCTTGTGATTGATCCTGAGAGGTTGACCATGATTCATAATTTCTTGCACCATCCATGACTTTTACTTTATGCCCTTAAACAAATTCAACCACACACATTTTCTGTGGTTTTTATCAATGCTTGATTTATGATCTCCTACCTCTTCATTGACTTCTTGGTCCACTTTTTTTTGAGAATGTTAACTTTGTATTAATAAAAAGGAATTTACATGAAGAATAAACGATCTACGGCATGCCACATATTGGGTGCTCAAAATACAACGTAAAGGAACAGAAAGAGCATTGATGCTTAGGGGGAGAGGGAATAAATCCAAAAACGGAGAAAGTAGTGAGAGTTCAAGGTAAAAGAGTACAATGCCAGTGGGAGAGAGAAGCAAAATGCAGAAGAGGATGCTGCTAAGGAAGTCCTGAAAATTATCTGGTGGAGTTTGCTGTCTGGTCTGTGTTTTAGTTGCTGAGCAGCAGCTAATATGGGTGAGATGCTTGTGGTGAGAGTTTTAGGTGCTTGAATTTAGTAATCCGAGAGGCTAAGTTTTTAAGTCCTTGCTCGCCAGCAGTCTGCTGTCTTCAGCGATGTAGAAGGCTGAAGATTTTGTAATAATCAATGATGGAGAAGAGGGGGGAGTTGGTATTTGAGAGAGTTGTTCATAGTCTGGGGGCATGGAGGCCATGAAAGAAGGAAGAGTTAAAGAAGAGGAGAGGAGCAGAAACCATAATTTAAGGAGGCAATAGAGAAGCTACGAAAGGCAAAGAAGATATGCTTTTTAGTTTTCGTAGTAGGCAAACTGGGGGAGAGAGGAGGTGAGTGAAGGGGGTTGCGAGGAGGAGAGGGATAAGGGCGAAAGCAGAGGATTGTCTGAGGGAATACGAAGTGGAGAAGAAGATGCAGAATAAATGATCCGAGGGGGGAGAGAAGAGGAAAGCAGGGGGAGAGGTTGATGAGAGAAGAGGAAAGCAGGGGGAGAGGTTGAGGGGAGAGGTTGATGAGAGAAGAGGGGCGAAGATAGAGAAGAAGAGACAGAAGAAAAGATCTGAGGGGAGAGAGAAGATGAAAATATATCCCCATTATTTTTCCTCTTGTAAATCCTTTTTATCCATCTATTCCTTTTTTTTCCTTTTTTATTTGGGCTTGCAAGGGATTCCACCCTAAAAACTCTTTACAAGTCTCAAAAACTAATTACTCTTTCCCTTTTCTTACAAAAGTTGTGTATTCATAAGAAAAGCCTATAAGTCTAAATTGATTCCCAAGAACCCTAGACCTAATCATCCAAATGTTTAAAATGACCCTAAAAAGGAAAAAAAACCTAATTACTTGATTTCACAGATTGAAAGCAACAAAAGAGTGGAGTGTGACCAAGAATAAAAAAAATGAGGGAGAATTGGAAAGAAAACTACAAAGAAAGCATGAGGGATGGAGAAGACGATGAGCTGACCTGAATGATGATGTGGTAGTTGAACCATAGGTGGCGAAGACAAGAGGAAGTGGGTCGCAAAAGATGGAATGTCGACACTCGAGTTGGCCCAATAAAATCTTGATCATAGGCTAAAGATAACAAAATACCCCTAAGTAATTTCATTGTTAGAGTTCCAAAACTCAAAAATAGTGTTTAAAAGATCACTAATCCGGAGTGGAATTTGCCAATCCGGATCAGGAATCTGTGGTTCCTAAGGGAACTGGTTGATTATGTGCCTGGTTCAGAACTAGTTAATTATGTGCCCGGTTTCCAAAATTTATTTTTTATTATTTTTCTATTTTTATTTGTTTCAATTCTTTTATTAACTGACTCCCATGGCCGGTTCATCCGGTTGATCCGGGTTTTAAAACACTGATTCAAACTTAATTATCAATGGGACCGACACGTATTCCATACTTGGGGTGGAGATCTAGTGACATTCCCTAGAGCAGGAGGTAGTTATTAGATAGAGGGATGAGACTGACCAACTTCACGATGGTCCAGGTTTATGATCAAGAAGATTTTGGTAATATGATGATTGTTCTTCATCATGGTCAGAACAATTGTGGCACCCTCCTTGCTTTTCGGCTCCACGAACATTTCAGATTGAAGGATCAAGAAAATTCAGTGCTTTTGCATGTGAGGCGTGACATCAGTCCAAGTGACTACGGTGGCACCCTCCCATTAATTCAAATGGTCATCCTCGTCCAACAGCAAAAAATAATGGGAATATGAATTATGAATGAACTGGGTGAGAGCGTTTATTGTAGTGGTCTTGACCTTAGATCAAGGGTCCAAATGCGACAAAAATATTGTGGGAAGTCATCTTGACCTTTCACACTTTGTATTTATGAGAGGGGGTCTTCGCTTAACAATGGAGGATTGTTCCCTTTCCATTATACCAGTTAATGAAGAAATAGAGATATGGTCATGTTGGGAGATATTTGTTACAGTAAGGGCTTTCTGGGAACCTGACACTACCTTGTGCTGAGTTGTTGCCATTGTAGACCACTAGGAACATTGTATCATATTGGGAAAATCAACCAAGCTAGATGTTCTTGTGTCTTAGTAGATTTTCAAAAGCTTAAAGAGCTACAGAGTACACGTTAGATGCATCTTCATCCTCCTTGGATTCTCTTGATGACATCGATGAATGTTTTGAGAGATGAATAATATTATTGCATCAATACATGAGCAGTTGTCCACTTACAAAGATGTTGACATCTGGGAAGATGGAGACTGCTTATAGCCCACATAGAAAGCCTATCCATTGCAATCTGACGAACAAAGCTCTCCTTTTGAGAGTGTATCTAATTAGAGATCAGAACAGGGTATTTGTATAAATCAATGTTGTTAAGATTGGACTTGTGGCTGGGCCATTGAGCGGTCCAGATGTCCAGTTGGATCAGCCAGTCTAGATCAGTTCACTTGTTGACCAGTTGAATAAATGAAAAACAATAATATACGGAACATAAGGAAAAATTGAAAACGAGAGAAAATTGTGGGAAAATTAGAAAGAATAAATAATCAGAAACAAGCAAAAATTATTAGAAAAAAATAACATGATATCACACCATTTGTTCATATCTCAATTCGGTTCTCACAATTCACTCCAATAATCCATCAAGCAATAAGTCACTAACAATGAAATTGAACTATTGAAAGCAAAACAAAAGGTCTCTAAAATATTGAAGTAATCAACCATGAACATAAGTATGAAGGTCGAAAAAACCCAATAACTCCACATCATAAAGAAACAAAAAGAAAATAGAAAAGCAAATGGAAACAAAAGGCTGCCAAAATGCTAATACTTATGCACAAAAGAATGCGTATAAGCTACCAAGTGAGTAAAATTATTAAATTTATTGGAACAAAAAATACCATTAACATGAATACAAGAAACAACCTATTGCAGTATTTTATTTTTTATTTTTAAAAAAATTTAAAAAGTAGAAGGATCATTGCTTGCAAAACCTAAAAAATTTGAATTTTTATATTTCCCAAATATAACATAAACATTAAAAATAATAAACTTACTTGTGGCTTAGGGCAGATTGATAGCTAGAATGCTCCCCAAAAGTTTCAAAATCTTTACCACATCTCATTAGTTGATAGAGATTCCATTGAGCAGTGCTAACTATACTTGGCCTGTATAAGAGATTAATTTGATGCTAACCAAGTTGGACCATTTCCTAGTATTGTAGGAATGAGAAGCAAAGTTCCTTGAATCTAATTTGTTTGCGCTACCAAAGCCTGTTTCAGAAAAGAAAGCATGTAGTCCTCAACAATCAAGTTCTAGGGAGGGCCTTCACCTTTCAGTTTTGAGTTGGTTTGTTTAGATGACTAAATTTACATGAACTCAATGGAGAAAGGTGGGCCTCGTTTCATGTGGAGGGATGGGCATGGTTCATAATATTCTAAAAATTGTAGTTGCTGAAGGTGAAGTTCAAGGTCTGGAACATGGAGATCCTTTGGCCAATTACAATGCCAGAGTCTTAAGCCTACTAAAATATATTAAAATGCTAGACAAAATAGAGGACAATAGGAGTTTGTCGAGTGAGGTAACACCGAACATGGAGGCCAAAGTCTCGGTCCAATAGCATTTCAGACGGGGGGAGATCTAGTCACCCAAGGTCAAGGGTCAATTGGCTTAAGGATGAATCATTTTTTCATGTGATGCCAATTGTAGAAGGTCAAGTCGATTGAGGGGATCACAAGAGAAGGTAAACAGATCTATGGGGCTCGTGAGGTGGTGGAAGCTACTTCGATATTTCAAAAACTCATTCAGGGGGAGAAGCACCCGTTATTATCATTGG